ATATATACAAGATTTAAGATATTACAAAGATTTAATGATACCGAAGGAGAGCTCTCCGTCCTCTCCAATTTTCTTGAAATTTCAACAGCATTAATATGTATTATATTTTTGTGAGTAAGACACCAATCTGTAAATTAAAATTATCATTTTCAAGGAAAAAAGTTTTCGCATCCCCGATTAAAACCCAGGGATCTGGATTTTAATTATTGTAAAGTTTCGGCAAATTGGAAAGAACGAAGCTGTCTTTCAATATTATCCATTTCTTTTATATGTTTTTACACTTTTCATAAAACAATTATTTATCGTCGAATTTATTTATTTATTATTGATTAATAAAAAAGGGATTAGTAAAGAGATAGTATTTCCAAAGATTTTCTTAAGCAATGTAGATATCTTGCTGCCCAAAAAAAAAAAATTGTTGATGTCAAATTTCGGAAATAATGTTGAAAGTTTTATACAAAATTTAGTGAGACGAAAATTTCCAATTATAATAATATGTTTTATATGTATATTATGAATATATAATCTTTTTTTATCTTTGTTACTACTTTAGAAAAGAAGGAACTTTTAGGAACTTTCAAAACTTTTAAAATTATTATTTTTTTTTCATTCTTAAACGACTCTAACACATTTTTCTTGTCGTTGATTATAAAGTCTCATGTCTAGCGTTTAGCTCGTATTAAAGTTTCGAAGGGCGTGTAAAAATAACCACGGCATTATCGGCATTGACATATTAACGAAGAAAAGTACACGATGTCGGTCATGAGTATCTATCTAGTCTGGAATTATTATTAGCTCCAACGACTATTGTTAGAATTACATTGCTTTTACGTTATGATAGCGTGACGACCGAGAATAGCGACGTGAAAGTTATCGAATCAATTGTCGAGATATAAAATAATATTTGCGTGAGTCAAAAAGTATATATATATATATATAACGTTTAGTCTGTTATTCTTATGCACGAGAGATGGTTAATTATTTAATCAGATACTTCATAGACGATATAAATCATACACGTTGTCCACAGCTTTTAACACAATACTGCACAGAAAAAAAGGAATCCTTGATTCAAGTATATTTTTATTCTTGAACGCTATTTGATTGATTTAAGCATAGAATGCTCTTTGTAATCACAAATTTTCATTTGCCTTAATAATAAATAAGTTTGTGTAAAGTATATTTTATCCTTAAGATATATTCTTGTTTTAAAAATCGTATATGGTAAAAACAAACTTAGTCACATTTGAACTAGGAATTATTATATTTATTTGAAAGTACCGCTTATATCCGATGCACACTTGTCACTTGTCCTTGCAATATTTATAAGTAAATTTCAGCTTCAACCAAGAATATTTTGCACTTTGTTTTAAGGATAAATTATCCTTTATCCAAAATTATTTATATTTGGTGCTATTATAAGGATAAAATATACTTGAATCAAGGCATATTTGCATTCTCTCAAGGATACTGTTTTTTCTGTGTGTAAATCATCATGTCGTTCGATGAAAATGATCGCGCGTACAACGTAATAAAGCGCCGAATGATATCTCAGAGAATTCATTTTTACGCTTCGTCTTTTCAAACATGGCATTCGGAATTTGGGAAGAATATCTTCGCGAAATGGGAACTTACCGCGCTCATATTTCTACTCCGGGATAACTCATAGATTCTCCGGATTCGAGCATCCGCGTAATGTCTAAGATTGATGCGCAAGATATACCGGAGGCGGAAACATATTTCGCAAGGAGCGAGCGAGCGAGCGAGCGGGAAAATAGGAAATCTGTCCGAGGGCAGAAGATGCTGGGGCACCGCTATCAGACAATTGAAAATTCCGCGGAAGAGATAAGCGCGCGACCTGCTTTCCGTAATCGATCAGATCGCAATCGACAAAGTCGCATACATTAAAATTCCCTTTAAATCGCCTGCCATTTTTCCCTCTCCGAGACAGGAAGAGAGAAAGAGACTCTCGCGAGAGAGATTGATCTACGCTGTACTTTATACAAAAAGAGGAGTTCACGGAGAAATGACATCGAGATACGGACGGAAGCGGAAAGATGACACGAGCGAAACGACTCGGAGTAATAAATGACCGCGATGAATAATAACTCGGTTATTGAAAGAAAATTCTGGCCGATACCGGGGCCAGAGAGTTTTCCAACTCCGGAGCATTAGCCTAGTTCTCGGATAAGGCTCGCTCCTTCGACCCTCTCTTTCGAGGCTCGCCGTCTTCTTTCCTCTCAACCTCTCTTCTTCCTTTCGCGATTCGCTATGCTCTCTTTATTCCGCGAAGCCACGTCCGCATAATGGCTATTCAGATATCGAATCGATTTATTTCCCGAGGGGCTTTCGAAAACTTTGCCCATCCTCTCGCGGTGAACTTGGAATGGTTATCTTCCCTCTCTCTCTCTCTCTCTCTCTTTCTTCTACCTGTCTCGCTTTTCTCGCGGTGCATTTCGAATGACCGAGACCACCCGGACTTACCGTGGAGCGTGAAATGTTCATTGGGTCACATTCGTTTCGCGAAACTTTTATCGCCGCGCCGCGTTTTGTCGCGCGCTTCTAAATCGAGTGTAACGAAAACGAGATAAGTTGCAATTTATACGCCTACAGTTCTGCGAATTCAATTTATTTATACGATTACACGTATTTCTTTTCGTGAAAAAACGTTGACTTTTGTTCTTTGTAAATTACTTTCTCTTGGTTACGTGAACTCTAGATTGATCAGGGTGTCTAGCGGTCAGGAAAATTGGAAAACCGGTCATTGTCAGGGGATTTTATAAATCTGGAATTGTTTCAGAGAAAAGTCAGGAATTTTGACTATTTATCTGGATTTTTTTACATTATTCCACATTTGTCTCAATAATGTAAAATTGTTTATTAAATAAATATAAACTTTTCCTTGACTCCCAGCACGCTGATTTTCTGTGTTGTTAAAAATCGATTCATCTACAGCGTGTTAGTTAGTTTATATTTTCACCGTCGTGTTATTTTATTCCAATGTGTTTAATAGAAATAAAACTAAAAAATTTGATATAATATAAATAAGAAAGGTGATTATTTAAATAGTTTATAGTGACATGTTTGTTTCAATTATCGTATATAATGCAAATTGTATAATTGATTTAAATTTTTGTTTCTTTAACTTCCGAACTTTTTCATTGTTGACAAAAATATCTCGAGAATTTCATGATTTAATATTTAATTGATTTATTATATAGATATATGCAAATGATATATTTGAAAAAAAATTATATTAAAAAGTCAGGAAAAAAAATGAATTTCTGGTCTTGGAAAATCTGAAAAAGTCAGGAAATTTTTTTCATTTAATCTGCTGGACACCCTGTTAATGTATCTTATAGATAATTATGTTAATGTCGTTTATTTTCAATGATACAAGATATAAGGTATTGTTCATGATTAATATTACGTCAAGCCATCGGAAAAGTCAGTTCGAACAGAGCTATCAGACGTTTAAGAGGCATTTCTCAGTCGGAAAATTCAATGTAATCGAACGATGGATACTGTGGATAGTCGATTTAATTACACGGATAAATGGATGGATGGATGGAGAGTTTCATTAGATAGATAAATAGATATGTGGATAGATTTATATCTAGTTAGGTCCATTATCGGGAAGATTTCAGTATAATACGATGAGGACGATTGCTTCTCTACAAATGTGATTAAAATCACATTCAATTAAGAAAGGCGGACGGGAAAATCGATAACTGTTAATGGAAAGAACCAAGCGGTTCAGTGGAAGATATCACATTTTCATGAGTGCATCTCCATAGCTGAATTATTTTTTTAATGATACACAATCGCAAGAGTCGAATCGAAGATCCTACCGCGTCGATAATTTGTAAATATTATAATTTTAATGTTATTTAAACTATTAAATTACTAGAATGACACAACTTAAAACATAATTAGCATGTTTGAAATGTAATATTTTAGTTGAACCTGACGAACGTGTTTGTTTGGTTTCTTGTGCATCAGTTGCATCCTTTCGAAACATGGCTAAAGTTCGATCGAGAGAGAGGTGAAACTTGATAACCGTACTTATCTAAACTCACGTATATACACACGGCAACATGAGCGATACTAAAACGCGCACATTAAGTCTTCGCGAGGAACTTACTCGAGAGAATAGTTTAACGGTCTTTCTAGATGAAGTTCGTCAAGAAGCGGCACTCATCAAATAATTAATACTCCTGCCGAAAAGAGTACACTTCATGATTTATACTTTGACTTATACTCCTTCCTGCGAGAAATAAATCTTCCCCGTGACGTCAATATTTTCAAAAGAATTTCGTCGATAAAAGTTATCGAATCTTAACGCTCATATTAAATATCATTAAAAAATATTTAAGATTTTAAAATTAATTTTTGAAACAAAAAAATTAAAATAATTAAACAAGTTTCCCAATAATTATATATTTTCAACAGTATCTTATAAAAAGTTGGTGAAAGATAAGATTCAATTGCAAATAAATTCCAGCATCTTCAGAAGATCTCTTCTGAAAAAAGATGGTATAGATAAACTAAGCATATCGCGAAATGAGGTTAAATATCATCAAAAAAATATTTAAGGTTTTAAAATGAATTTTTTTAGACAAATAAAAAATAAAAATAATTGAAGAAGAAGTTTCCAAATAATATGTTTTCAACAATATCTTATAAAAGATAAGATTCAATTGCAAGTAAATTCCACCTTCGGAAGATCTCTTCTGAAGAAAGATGGTAGGTAAACTAAGCATATCGCGAAATGAGATTAGATATCATTAAAAAAATATTTAAGGTTTTAAAATAAATTTTTTTTAGACAAAAAAATTAAAATAATTGAAGAAGAAGTTTCCAAATAATTATTTGTTTTCCACAATATCTTATAAAAAATAAGATTCAATTGCAAGTAAAGATCTCTTCTAAAGAAAGATAGATGGTAGGTAAACTATAAGCATATCGCGAAATGGGGTTGCGATGGCAAGTTGTCTGACCTTATTCGGGTATCCGTTGTATCTCAGCAGTTTCTTGCAACACTTGCCGCGGTTCTCGTAGTAGAACATCTGCACCATGTCCGCGCGATCGGTCGCGCCGCTGACGGTGAACGGCGTCCTGGATGACGACGACGGCGGCTGCTGCTGCTGCTGCTGTTGTTGCTGGGCCGACGATTGCCGACGCCCTAGTGGCACGCAAGGGCACCACCCTGAGACCATCACACCGATCGGGCCCGTCGCCGGCCCGACTCGTCTGGCCCAACGCGCCGAGAATATCCCTTCGCTTCCTCGTTTTCTCCGAAGATCACTTCCTGCCGCGAACGAAGGCGAGTCTCTTCATGACGTCTCCTCCCTGTCGCCAACTTCGTTTCTCTAAACTCGCGAGATCCCCGTCAAAAATTCGAATAGTTTCTCGCCGGCGAGAGTGTCCTCAAGTTTCCTTAACGCATGTTTCAAGAGAGCGTTTACAAGAGAGACGATTCCGCGAAGTGATGCTGGTGGGTGACGAATTTGGCAACGATTCCCTGTGCTTTTCTCGGGCGACAATCACTCTGAAAAAAGAAACAGACAGGATTATAGATGGCTGTGCTAGAAATATATGCGAGCAAATTTTTTAGCTGCACTTTTTTCACACACATTTATCTTGATACTTTAACTGTATATAAAATATAGATAAATAGAAGAGGGATATTGATCATTAGTTATGAATTTTGACAATTGAAAAGACTCTTTGTATTTATGCTACCCTATTCTATTTTTCAAAAAAAAAAAAAATATATTTTTAAGTTGAAGCTGAGCTTGATCTCTTGATAAGTCGATACTGGTCGATCTCCTTTAATTTTATTACAATAGAGAAGAATGCGATAGGGATTAATTCCGAGGCGGGTCAATTTAAACCGAGTTCTCTTCTCGCGAACATTAGGAAACGTCAAGTATAAGGAGAAAGAAAGAGAGAGAGAGAGAGAGAGCGAATCCCGTCAGGATCTCTGCGCGAAATTGCCACTCCTTTTACTAGTGAATATCGTGCTTTCAAGATTTTCTAAGAAGCCTGTTTGATTAAATCCGTGTGCGCGTCGCATCGAATTTCGGTCGGATCCATTACCGCACCAAAAAAACATGCTCTGCTCCCGTAAATCAAGGGCCGTTAGATTTGCCGTTCGATCTCGCGACTTAAATTAACGGCTGCTGCAAAAAGCGGCAGGTTGATAAATTGGTAGATAGATGGATAGACGCCGCAAATGGATGGATGAATTCTCTCTCGCTATAGATTCCCTAAGGACGCCCTGAGAGATAAATAGATATAATTTATTTAGAGAGAGATCGTAAAGAGCGAAATAGAAAGAGATAGATATCGGGGAAAGAAACTAACGATATTTAAGATTGACGATAGGATCCAACACAAATATTAATTAATTAAAGCTATATATTTTTTATATATCTCTATATATGTATTTAAATATGACACGATGTTAAAAAAAAAATAGTAATATAGTGAGAAATATTTTTCTATAAAATAAAAATATAATAATATTAATTCATTTAATACATTTATTAATGTTAAATTAATATATTATTAATATAAACATTACGTTCAAATATAGTATATTTTTATCGCATACAAAAGTTTGTAATATATATGTCAAGAATTTCGATCAATTATTATTTGAAATTATAAAGAATTAATATAAAGATTAGTAAAAAAAAGAACAATTTTTTGCATACACAATGATATACAAATGATTTGATTATATTGCGAAATTACTGAAGATTATCAGTAGACACGTATGTTTTATTTCTTAACAAAACAAGATGCAACGCAAACTGACTCGGCGAAGGGATGGCAGAAGGGGATGGGATGGTGAAGCCATAAAAATGAGAAAAACAACACAGGAATTTGCAATTCATGAGAAACGTCGTCGGCTGTGCGTTAGTCACAGAATGCGCGACCTAATTTAAGAATGGAAAATTTGCGCCGTGTCTCCCCTACTCTTGGGTAATAAACGCGTCGCATACCGCACAAACATCATTCGACTTACAGAAAATAGAGAGGAAATTCCACCTTCCGTTTCTTCAGTAAAAGATCGACTCAAGTTTTCATCAAAGAACTTTTACATTATTTTAATGGAATCTCGATGCAAATTTTATTTATATCGCTTTATCTCTACATTATATACAAAATGCTAAATTTATACATTTTTAAGCTTGCAAATACGTAAGCTTGACTTGGAAATAGATAAGATTGTCATAAGAAAATAGATAAGAAAGAAAGAAAGAAAGAGTTATAAAAAGAAAGAAGTATAAAAAAAATAACGTCGACGAAGAGAAATCTGAGAAAATGCAGAAAAACGGCGACATTTCCGAGTCATCCTGTATAGTACACGCAGTCGCATTAGCTGGAAAGATTAATTAGAGCATGATTTATACGTATATATTTTCGGCGAAGGAGCAAAGACGCCCCTTTCGCGTTCTCCAAGACAAAGCCGATTGCACTTCGCAGAAGCGCCCGGGGTGTTTCCGTAGTTCCCTCGTTTCGAATCTGATTCTTGTACGACCTCGTAATACGGGTCGCCGAGGTACTGAGAGGACGCGCGATAAGTTTGCTTTACGGTTGCGCCAGATGACGTCGTGCCATTTAATAAAGCAGAAACCGCGTGAGTGTGGAGAATCTGCCTTCCGCAGACTTTCGGCTCGCTCGATGCATATCGTAAAGATTTAAAGATGCGTACGATATGTCAAAATGTGCGCGATGATCGTAACGCGATCGAGTTTAATCTTGAAAAAAATACCTGATTTGATATTGTTTTTTCTCGTGTATATATTATATGTTGAAAAAAGATAATTAATATTACACTAAAATAAATGAACGCACGTTGGATCCATATATTTTTTTCGACAAATCGTTATATCATTGAGGCGAATGAAAGATTGCCGATGGATCGATCATTGGATTCCTCGAATCCGAGGAAACGTTGAATTGTTAACCAGTATCAATTGGAGAGTGTGGGAAACTCCAGGTGATGAACACTTTATGATTCCCGGGTGTATGGGAGCAAGCTTTTATATTCATGGTAATCTGCATCTCGCGTCGTATAAAATTTAAATCTATTAAACAAATGTTTTTATCGCGTAAATATATGTATATATAATATAAGCTTTTATGAAGAAAACGAGGAGAAAAAGAAAGAGGAGACTATAGAGAAAGAGAATTTTCATAGAATTTGTAAGAAAAGTGGGTTTATGAAGAATTTAATTCGACGAATGTACGCGAGTGCGTTTCTTTGTAACTTTTGAACCGGTTTCTCTCTCTCTCACAGGACCCATTCGTCCGTTGATGTAACAATTTTTCACCGTGACATTTCCGGCTTAGAGCTGTCCCTCGAGAATTCAACCTGCTCTCGTTTCGTTCCCGGCCGCGTGGTCATAGATTACTTACTAAAGCAGAGCGTAATCCCAAGTCTTCGTTATGCCAACATAACGTACGTAAAATGTAAGAGCGTCATATAACATGGGAAATTAGCAGCGCGAATTACACATTTGGAATATATCTCTTAATTTAGTTTTTATGAACATAAAAATTACGAGTTTTCAACTTTTAGTTTATAATAATTACTAAGAACTTTAAAAAATTACTGAGTCAAAAATTACTCTTTAAATATGTTTCACGCGACAAGTACGAAAAATGAATATAATGAAATATTGCGACAAACGTAATATCACGTCTGTATAATATGTACGTATCTAAATCTTTTTCAGCTGCCTTTTTTTAATTGTTAATTTTTTAATCTCTGATATTACATCTACGCATATATATATATACATACATAAGAGATTAAAAATATATATATATTAAAGATGAAAAAATACATATATTAAAAAAAAATATGTGTGTATTTAAAATTGCACTTTTGATATTTATTCAAATATTTCTAAGTGATCGATCGCGGCTAGACGAGAGCTCTGTACTCGATCGTAAACTAGTTCGATTGAATAAGTTCGAGGCAATTCCTTGCCACTTGTCGTTGCTGTCACTCTGCGAATTTTCCCTACAGTCTGCAACTTTTCGGAACCGGCTGACTAGTTCGGGCGCGGATTTCTGCACGAACGAGCTAAATCGACTCGACCGGTCTCGCCGGAATTGCTTCGTCCCGAGACTCGCGGAACCGCTAGTAAAATCAACGGCGACGCGACATCGATTTTTCGACGGCAGGTCGAAGTTTAATTAAATCGCGGCGCGGAACTTGCGGACGAGGAGCGACCGCGTCGAACAGACGTAAAACCCATAAAAACGTAGATTAACCCCTTCGGCACCAACTCGCGACGTAACATACAAATCGATGTGTGGTTCTGGCAAAAAAAAAGTCCGTAGGATTCGTTATTATCGTGTATAACGAATGTTCCGAATATTCACGGGGACAATTTGCCACACGTAGCCGTGTTAAAAATTAGATTCGACGCGAATACTTGAATAAAATTTCGCAATTTTTAACAAGTCGAAGATTAAACGAAGATATTTATATAAAAAAATATCTTAGAAATATATAGAGAGAGAGCTTGAAAAATTGCATCAAATTAAAATGATGTGAATCTCGAAAATGACGAAGCGCGCATCACATTTTTGATTGCACGAATAATTCAATAAATCGTTGACCAACGGAGTAAATTTTTCCATATAATTAAGGGATTAAAACGACAACGACACGTCGCGTCGTCGCGCGAGAAATAAAACGCGAAAAAAGGATGAGAACGAAATGTGACGTTCGTGCATGGGAGTTCTACGAGTGTCCGCGAAAAAGTTTGCCGGAATATTTCGCAAGTGCATGTAGCTTGTTGTTACGGGTATATATGTGTGTTCTTTTTCACGCGTTTTACACGGTATAGAGAACGCGCTCGTTAAATCTGTCGCCGCGTTCCCTTTTATAAGTTCGCGACCCCGTAGTTTTGTAACAAGCAGCCCCACACACGCGTGTAGTATATGCGCGAGCTCGTTTCCGGACTTTATAAAGCGCCCGCAATAGTTATCACGACAAATAAACAGCGCCGCGAGTCGGCGCACCCTCTGACGCGCGGGAGGCTAATGTAAACTTACGAGAGACGATTGCACACGTGACGTATAACACGCGCGTGAAGCAGCGAGCACGTGCGCTCAAGCGCTCCGAGAAGTTCAACAAGCGCCTGAGAGCCTTTTTCAAGGAGAGTCCCGCAGAAGCGGAAGGAAATGCATATATACTTAAAATTAGAATTTCTGAAAAAATTGATCGATATCACACATTGACATTTTATTATATATTATTATAATTATGTGAATCTAATTATTATAATTAGTCTATTAATTTTAGATATATATATATATACAAACGTCATTGATATTCATTAAATTAAATTATATATAATCTCTCTAGAATGAATATAATGATTAGATTGAGAATTAATGATATCGATCGATCGGCGGAATTTTTGTCCAACGCGCGACAATTCTCGATGGGAGCTCGCGAATTATCGAGAATTGTCGACGAAGCGCGATATCTCGCCGCGGGAGAAATAAAGGCGCTTAAACCAAGCCGAACGTATCATATGCACCTGCAACATCCGCGACCGACAGTTTGATGTATGGGACCGCGGCGACGCGCGCGAGCACAACACGAGCAAAAAGTCTCTCTCCGCGTAATCCCTCTTCGTTCCCCGAGAAATCTCATTACGGAAAAGTTTGAGGGAAGGCTCTGCGCCGCGTCGCGGGTGGATGGAGATTCATCCTCAGACTTATATATATATGTATACGGGAGTCTACGGCCCGTGGAAATTGCGAGTACAGGAGGAGAGAATGGGAGAATAGTCTTGTAGCCATTGTCGAAGATAACTTCCTGCGATATCTTCAACAGGACTGAGGTGAATTTAAACTTGTTGAGTTATAACATGAATGGGAGAGAGAGAGAGAGAGAGAGATCACCTTCCCTTTCTATTAAATTTAAAATTCTTGAATTGGTAATAATTCATTCAAAAGTATCATCTTGAAATAATTCTTTGCAATGGCAAGTATATGAACTTGCGGTTCTAAATAATATCATGAATAATAAGCTTCTTCCCTCTTCATGTATATGCATTGCAAGATAGAAATATGATAAAAAAATATGGTAAAGATACAAGTATACAAATTTTTCTGTATAAAATATATAAAAGGGAGACATAAATCTTTAGAAGGGTCATTATTTATGATTACTCTTATTCTTTGAAGTAACTCGTATTCAATTGTAATGTAATTTTCATCCTTGAGCATCTTTAAGGCATGAAGAGAACCAAAGACATGAATTTTAAAATGTAAAAAGAAATAAGATGAGTTTCTTACATAACTATTTTCACAAAGATAATGATAAAATTATTTACATATCTACTTCGGAAAATAAAAACATTTCCAAATTATAGTATTATACATATCGTTCGATCCATTCGGTCTCTTAAATAATAAAATAAAATGTGATAAGAAGAATTTAAAAAACACACACCTCCGTTGAGTAGGCTCCCGAACGATTGAAAATCCTGCGAGATCTCCTCCTTCACTTTGACTTATATCGGAGCTGCTCCGACTTCGAAGGCAGGAAAGCCGCGCACACACCGTACGTGTAACTAGGGCCGCCGGATATTACATCCCGAATTTCCGGCGTTCTTAATCCTCCTCCCGCGCGCACGGGACATCCTCTCTTCCGTCTATCTCAGAAAGGATCGCGAAGCATCTCTCGAAGAAGGCCGAACAAAGAGTTTTCTCCAATAACCGGCTCGAGAGAGGATGAGAGACGAGAGGGTAAAAAGAGTAAAAGAGAGCGAAAGAGAACTCTATTATTCGACGCGGTAGAACTAAGCGATAAGGTCCTCCCTTGGCAAAGGACGTGATGATTGAGCGACAGGAGCCGGAAGGAAAAGGGAGCCGCGCGCACTACTAACACCGGGTCGGGAGAGTGACGTTGGGGGATCGCGTGTTTCGGTCGACGTACGGACGCGGACTAAAGCCCCTCGACGGACGGACGGGTCTCGCTCGTCGTCGCGTCGCGTCGACTCGCGCGACGACGAGAAGCGGCGGCGGCGGCGCTTCCTCTTCCCTCGTGGTCCTCGCCCGTACGGCGCAGGGCTGACTGAGAGAGGCAGCGGCGCCGAGCGTCGCGACGCCGCGCCGCGTCGCGCCGAAGCGACCCTTCGGGCCTGCGTTTCGCCCCGTGTGTGTCCGAGTTGCGCGCCGATCACTCGGAAACCCTTCGCCGGAGAAGTTTTGTCCGTTTGGGACAAATCGCTTACTTGGGGAAAGAATCGCGAGCTGTCATTGATTCGGGAATGGAAAGTATTCGGTGCTCTGTCGAAAAATTTCGAAAAGAATATTTATTATTCTTTTGCATTTTTTTAAATTAATTTTTGCACTGATTAAAAGATTTTAACTGGTATTTTTTGTACGCTTACCGTATAAGGGAAAGAATCGAGCTGTCATTGATTCGGGAATGGAAAGTATTCGGTGCTCCGTCGAAAAATTTCGAAGAGAATATTTATTATTCTTTTGCTTTTTTTTAATTAATTTTTGCACTGATTTAAGATTTTAACTGGTATTTTTTGTACGCTTGCCGTATAAGGGAAAGAATCGAGCTGTCATTCTGGGAATGGAAAGTATTCGGTGCTTTGTCGAAAAATTTCGAAGGGAATATTTATTATTTTTTTGCATTTTTTTAATTAATTTTTGCACTGATTAAAAGATTTGAACTGGTATTTTTTATACGCTTACCGTATAAGGGAAAGAATCGAGCTGTCAATTTCAAAGAGAATATTTATTATTGCTTTGTATGAGTTTTTAATTAATTATTGCACATAATGTGTGTAATTTATACGCTCTTAATTCTCTTAATTTGTTAATACATTGTGTTTCTCTCAATATCTATTTGATATTGTTTAATCCAGCTGTTACTTTTAAAATAGAAAAGTGCAAATTTTCTTTAGAAACGTGAACATATACCGCAGGGATTTTTTTAACGAATGAAACTTTTTTCTCAATTTTTTAATATTTGGAATCTAAATTTTCTTTTCTATGCGATCTTTAATATGAATTGATTGAATAATTAGAAAAATGACTGGAATAAGAGAGGCAAGGAGTGTCGCGAAGAATAAATACGAGCTTCCTCTAATTTAAAATTCCGCCGTCGTTCTAACGTCATATCGTATAAATGATGTAACATACATTGCACCACAAGAATGACAATTTATGAAATCCTGTAGAAACCCTCAATTGCGAAGGCATTTCTAGCCGCAATTCGCGCGACTCGAAGGAATATTAATAAACATAGTACACAGAACAGGAAGCAACGTCTCCTTTTCACCCTTTGTACTCCTATCTCGCCACCGCTTTTTCTTCGTTCGTCCTTTGGTGAGCATCCCTCTATGTGTACATATACGCATACACGTACGCGTATGTACGTGTGTATGTACGTCTTTTCAGCGGTACATCTCCAGCAGCCAGAATATCACCATTCCTCTCGCTTCCACAATTCTCTCTCCGGCTTCTCTTATTTTCTGGAAAAGGAAAACGTGCGCGAGAGTTGGACACTCCGTGTCTGCGAGCATCGTCTCTCTACGAGTCTTCTTCTTTGATATCTATCTGTCGTTTGTTCGTCTTTATTTCACCTTTCCCGCTCATCACCGCCCATCAGCATCGCGCGGCTTCTCTCTTATATATTTTGCTACTGGATACTCGACGCTAAAACGGACCCACATCTAACTTCGAGTGGCCGCGAACATCGGAAAACACGTTCGACCATTTTTACACCCGTCGCGATATCTCGTAACCCGTTTGCACCCGCTCGAAACGATCACACGTGTTCGAAGATGATCGTCGCTTTATATCTTTTTGTGGGCCGCAAAAATTTTAAATAAAGAGCAGAGGGATAAAAAGTCGAGGAAATTTCGATAATGTCGGAAAAATCCTTCCTCCGCTTCTGCTTGTCAAATCGTATAAATCGCGATAGATGACAATAAAAATCAAACCGAAGATAAAATATTTTATCATATATGTGATATATATATATATATATAGGACGAAAATTGTCATCTTGTTATTTTTTTCGAATTAAATAATGATCGGGACGATTGATCGCGAGAAATCTTGGCCGATGACAATTATTGTCCACGACATGAATACGTTTCGAGCAGATCGACCGTTTCGACCACTGGATATACGCACATCTTTTATGCACGCAAACGCGATACGTGAGTCGTGTGGAAATGCCAAGAGGCATTTCGGAGTAACCGGAAGAATGAATATTTCAGGAGACGGGAGTCTTGAAGCGCGCGAGTATCTCATTTTTCCGCGAGACACGAACTAGGACGATCGGGGCTATTTGTTTTAAGAATTGATCATCCCGCGCGGCGGCTATCGACATTTTCGAGGAGGATTCCCGCGACAAGTGGACGCTACGGTGAAATAGGATAGGTTTTTTTCGCTCCTTTCCTTGATATACCAAATGCAGAGAATTTGTACACGTTCTCTCTTTCTCCGAAATAACATTCCATTTGTATTCTCCGAGTTACGATGAGAGAAAATCGAGAGCGCGCGCTCGCGATTCTGGCACGTGTGCGTATCCCTTTTACGTAGTTACGAGAGTTCGTGAACCGGATTAGGGCGAACTTTGAAAAGATCGAAGGGACGATAACGTCGGGAGCCGACAGAGAGGCGGAAGCTGGACCGGATATAGAGTTCTCTGTAGCGGGATCATTGTATATACATGTACACATATCGTATACAAGGTGTCCCAGACTTACTGTACTCGTTAATAGGAGATTCTCGAGGCAATTTTTCTTCAGCGAAAATGTCCAGACACCGATCATTTTTGAGGTATGAACGATTAAAAATTAAAGCTTTTTTGTAAACTAAGCGTTGTAAAAGTAAATTATTAACGAAACTACATTTTTTAGTTAATTTCAGGCGTTTACTTTAATAGAATTTTAATTTAAGGCTCAGTTACAAACAGTGTTGGGTAGTATCTAGATACATTTTGTGTATCTGAGTCTGTATCTGACAATGAGATATATTCGAATTGAAGTATCTATATCTGTATCTGATATTTTTCATGTATTAAGACTAACGCGAATAAAGTCGTAATATAAACAAAAATATTAATAAAGATAAAAGAATTATTTAGTACATTTTGTGCATATTATCATTATTATGATACAATATAATTTAAAAGTATCTGATATGTATCTGAGATACTTTTAAAGTATCTGTATCGAGATACATTTTAAAGGTATCTTACTCATCACTATAGTTACAAAGATATATGATTTCAAAAATTGGAAACATTAAAGAAATGATGATTTTTCTCGACATTTTCGTTGAGGAAAAATCGTCCCCAAATAACCTTAGGAGTCTCCCATAAATTGATAAGGTTCGGACACCCTTTATATACACACGTAGACCTCGTGCCTTTCGTCTTCTCTCTTTGTCGGCCTTTATTTTCCTTCTTCTTTTCCCTTTCGTGATATGGATTAGAGTATCCAAGTGTGGTCGAATTGTATTTCCAGCAATATCGCGTGACCCCGTTATCGTCGCTGCTCCAAAAGTTATCGTCGTCGATCTGTGTGCGGTTGAGAAAGTAAACCGAAGAATAGTATATATCGTGTTAGAGAAGATGACATATCTCTCGGTGACACACAATCTGTTGTCTCGTTCAGCCAGCTGATGCACTTTGTGGCGCAACAACTAGTTTCCTTGAAATTTAACTTTTTACCGTCGAATCTGATTACTTTTTCCGCAATAAACTGTAGATAATTGAATTTCAACACGCGTTATTCCCCATATAATTTCTGTCCTTCAATTAAGAGCGAATAGAAATCTTAATCTTTTTTTTATATCTATAGACGGCTTTTTTCTTTTTGAAGGGAAAAGACGTGAATAAAAATGCGATGTAAGTTAACAAACGCTCGTTATAATTCGGTCAATGCGATTTGTTTGTCAGTTAATATTGATATGATTTTATATACGTGTAATAATCAGGTGGAAATACAGCGAGTGCGCAGAAGCAAATAGAGCAGAATGTAATATTGATCGTTAGTTATTGGTGTAAACGTTATTTACAATGGCTTCTATTATTACATCTATAATACAAAAGAGTAACACTCTAGCTCGGAATTACTAGCACCTGATAATTTTAATGAATAATGCAGGGGTGCATAACGCAATATTGAAAGGATGTATATCAACAATATATCATATCTAAACTCAATTGATAATTAATTACATTAATTGTTTACAAATATATTTGCTTGTAATAATATATCTACATATTATTTTATTATAAAAAAAACTCTCAGCGTAGGAAAGAGTTATAATTTATAAAAGAGAAAATTTATATAAATAAAGTCAACGATACGCGTAAATTATATATATATTATTTTTATCGAAATGCATTTACGAATGCATATTCATACATGTTTAATTAATTTTAATAAATTTAATTAATTTAGTCATCAATTAAACCAGACGATTAATTAATATTTTAATTTTCATCTGAAAGCATGTTCGCTATATATGCAGACTTTCTCGTTTTACAAAAATTCGTAAATTATTTGCTGACAGCGAGCAATAAATAAAAATTATATATATATATACCAGCAGCAATATATTCCCGGGATGTTTGTCGTTCTTATGCACTCGACTCAGTTCGCACGTATACACCGAATGTATCGTCCGTCATTTTTAGTACTCTGGCATATACCCTCTTCTACTTATGTCTGTATTCACCAGACACAAAGAGTGTTCGACTTTTTTGCGACGCCTGCGAGCGAAGTTCCGCTCCTGTCGTACGCAAGACTCTTTTTTCCGTTAACGTTATTAGCGCGTTTCGAGTTCGTGAGGTACAACGGCCGAGCGAACACACACACACACACACACACACACACACATACACACATGGCTGGCTTCAACCATTTGAAACTAAATGGCCTGAAGCCATTCGACATCGACTTTTTGAAAAAGGGAAGCTCTCGCAAAAATTCTTACAAAAAGTAAAATTCATTTTATTCAAATACTCACACTTTTTTTTTGCTATTTCGCAAAACATATTTCGCGAATACAAT